CCAAGGCATCACTGTGCATGATGTTTGCGGGCAGTACACTCTCCAGTGACGCCAAGGGAATTTGGGATTACAATCTTATTGAGGAGGGGCCAGAACAAACTGGAACGAGTAATAGTTCCGAGCTGTCGGACGACGAAGAGGATGATGATGGAGATCATCATGACGACGATGGGCATCACCATTTGCTCGAAGATATCAACGAAGATCAAGAGCGGGAAATCCAAATGCCACCTTCACCACGATCGTCCAAACCGAGAAATCTTCGCAAAGACCAGCGAACACGGAGCCACAGTGGAAACAACCACCCCAAGCCGACCAGGACGTTGTCTCCCTCGAAGGCACAAAAGCAACATTCCCAACAGCAACATCAACAACAGCAACAACAATCACATCATAAGCAGTCAAAACAGCAACAACAACTAGTAGTTGAAACGACTGAAAACAAACGACATCTGTACATATATCGAGCTGGCAAAGTATCCAAGTTTTCCGTATACCCCTCCGAAACTATCCTACACATCAAGTCCAGGATACAACGAAAGCTGGGCATTGCACCAGCCAAACAGTACCTGGAATGGGATGGAATCGAACTTGAGGAGCAACGAACTATTGCACAGTACGGGATACCCACGGATGCTACTCTCGTGCTATCCAAGCTCCGAAGCATCCCCTCGCATCCATCAATTCACACGGAAAGCTTAATGTCTGGCAGCAAACAACAACATGTCATGGAAGAATCACAAACTGCAACCACGGATCATGACCTTGAAGACCACCACCGCCACCACCATCACCATCGTGATTCTTTGGACGAAGAAGAACGAGATGACCATCTCGATGATATCCGACCCAAACGTCGTGGTAGATCTTCCACTTCCCGGCCCGTGCCAATCACTACAACGAATAGCAATCCCAATCGACCCCCCAAGCCTCCCCGACAGCAGCCACCTTCACCCACGTCGTATGCCTCTTCGGATCACGACTCCTTCATGACGTCCCCCTCCCAACAGCAGTATCCCGATCCACGCCGTCGGCAGCAAGCATTACTCAACAAACTCAAGATTCAGAATCACAATAGCCAGCAAAGTACCGGTGACGTGTCATCCCTGGAACACGAATCCACACTGCCCTCACGGCCTCGTCCCAAGAAACAACCGGCTCCACCACCACCTCCACCACCGCCACCCATTGACGTTTTCGTCAATACCATCATGGGATTCACCATCAACATTGCCGCCAAGGCAACCGACACGGTCGATCGTCTCAAGAAAATGATTGAAGAACAGGAAGATATTCCCTTTAAAAAGCAAATCCTCATTTTGGACGGCGTTCCCTTGGATGACGCCCAATTCCTGACGGATTACACGAGCAGTTCGTCTTTGCACGTCTTGCTGCGATTGCAGGCGGGAACGGGAAGTAGTGTGGGTGGAGCATCGTTCGTTACGCCCGCCAGCAGTACCATGGCCGCAGTGCCGCGCAAAAAGAATCGACTGTTGGGACGTGGTATGTAATGCAACATACGAAACGAAACAAGTCGAAAGGTTGCCAAGGCAGGGGGTTGGGTTGGCAAACGTTGCTTGTTGGGGGGGATTACGACGGGCAGACGAGGGCGGTGGATTGGAACATTTGAATTGGACGGCAAGGCCTGTCGAGACTGAGAGCAGAAGCACAGCAAGACGTTGACAATGGTCTTGCTTTTCGAAGGGTGTTGTGCTATCCGAGACTACTGGTGAGAATTAAACTCCTATTATTTTAAAGAAAAGCTCTTGAACGATTCCAAAGAACGAATCACAAGCAACTCGATTGTGCCCTGATAAAAGAAAGTAGCAGTCTGGATCTAGATGCAGTTGCCCGAACTTTGTTGGCTTCCCTTTAGGCTTGCCTGCCTGGTACAGCAATTTAGTCTAGATTGCAAAACTGCCATCATACGTGTTCAGTTTCAAACCGTTTTTGTCCACAGGTGGCTTTGTGATGTATTAGTACCGTATAGGCATGGGTACCCTTCAACACCAGCAGCGTCATGCCAGCTAGCTTCAAGAATACGCTTGAGCAATGCATCATCACAAGTCTATGCAAGTAGTCACTGTATTCTATTCTATTCCTTTATCTTCTCATTGCTGGAGTCTCACGCTTCTGTAGGGCACTGGCCGGGATGGCGTTGGATTTATGATGCCATTTGAATGTTCTTCACCAATCCCTTGACAAACTCACAGTACATACTTTCATGCTCCCGAAGAAGGTTGCAGTGAACACCAGTCTTGAATTCCAACACTGAGATTCTTGAGCATGGAGACAATTCCTTGCGGTAAGAGATAAGATCCTTTAAATCATCAATGTCACAAATGTTATCTTCCAAGCTGTAGACATACGCTTGGGCTGGACGGCACCTCTCAAGCCTGGTTTCTTTCATTCGTCTCCAAAACTTGGTACCCTTTGAAGACTCTCCTCCAGAAAGTAAGCCTATGCTGTCAGCAGATGAAACACAAACCTTCAACACATTCTTAGCAATTGGATTGGAAATTCCTTCATCAACAGCAGTTAGGACGCTGCTTCCTTTTGGAAAGACAGGTCCAGAGTCAAAGACTTGAAGCTTCAAATGTTCCCTCACCAAGAAAATAGATTCATTTTCAGTGTCTGCTGCAATGATTTGGTTGATCCTATCAACCACAACTGCACCTCCATTTGAAAAGCAGTGAGTTACAAGAGGAATGCCAGGGTTGGCCTTGAGATGCTTTCCTGCTTCTTTCACTACCTGCATTGCCAGATTGGTAAGATTTCTCTTATTGATTGTCAGAACATCCATTTCACCCGCCACTGTTCGAATAAATGTGGTGTTTTCGTTGTATGCCTTGGTATACTTTTGGACATGCTTTAGGTTGGCTCCAAACCAACCAAAGAGGATCACTATAGCCTCTGGTTTCTCAGCTGCTTCCACCATCACCACATTTTTTCTCAAGGCATTGGGCTTCTTAATTGGTTTAATAGGTTTGGGGAATTCAATGCTGTGGATTCTAGCGGTCTTCATCATTGTTGTTTTGGTTTGCTTAGTTGATTGATTGCTTGTTTGTCGATTTTGTGAGATGTTTTGTGGGCATTGGTTGTGCTGGGGGCAAAAACCCGGCAATGTGTACATCAATCCGGAATCAAAGCTACTGACCGACCCCACCTCGATTGACCAAGATTGTTGTTGAAACTGGCTGTACTTGACCGAGTGCTGGCTCTTAGGTGGGACTTGCGGGGTGCCCAGTCGACTGACTTCGTTTATACCCTCCATCTTTTTGCCCGGACTTCCGTAACTTCAAAACGCTGCATGCGACTCCCACGGCAATCCCATCGTGCTTGCCTCAAACTGTGTGTTAAGTCTTTTTTACTAAAATATAAGCCTTGATGTGCTGACTGGTATGATCCAAAATCGCGCCATTTGGCTCGATGCGTTCAGGAGGAGGCCAATCGTACCACTGAAGAGTGACACCTCATCCGGTGGCTGTCTCCAACCAGGTAATAGAATTTCGCGCTGTGGTGGCTCCGACTAAGGGCACGAATTCGGTGAAATTAAAAACGAAAGATGATGCTTGCACGGCACAAGCTTGGCGTCATCGGCTTCGTTCTTCAAGTGACTTATGCGCAATGGTTTATCACAGTCGACATGGACGAGATTGAATTCGCTTGGATGCAGTTGTTTGCGAGCTCGGCGGAAGGAGACATATAAACCCTCACTGGTGCACAGATTGTTCTTGTGGGTTTGACATGGTAGTGGGTTGTTCCTTCGAGTTGGTCAATGCAGGTGCGATTTGCATGGAGCTTCACGGTGACCACAACCTGTGCCCGGTCGCTACGCTCGTCTCTAGAAGTCACAGAAAGACCGAGCAGCCAATCAGCTATGGGTTGTGGAAAATGCAAGAGACAATATCGGTTCATGGCCCGGCCCCAATTTCTGCTTCAAACGATTATTCACAACCTGAAATATATTCATTTTTGGCATCTGTTGCAATTCCTTGGTTGGGCCTATCAAACACTACTGCACCTCCATTTGAAAAATAGTGAGTTGCAAGAGGAAGGCCTTGAAGATGCTCGGGTGAGTGCTTTCGGCGCCGAACAATAATTTCCTGACAGCTCTGACAGCTAAAGATGCAAGACTTACTACCTAGTACGGTAGTACATGTACATGTACATGTACATGTACATGTATTCGTACCGGTACATACCGTACCGGTACTGTACTGTACTCATATGCATAGTGGCACGTTGGCACGTCTAGTTTATAATTTTTTAAATAGAGCTACTGTGTCGCCCACCACTGGATTTTCCCGACCACTGGATTCTGGAGCGGAACCTCTCGAGGATGGGGTAAAAAAGGGGTAAATCCATGTTCCGCTCCAAGAGCTGCTGCGGCAGCAGCTCTCTGAGAGGCACTTTCTTGGCGTCAAGTCAAGTTGGCTCTCGGAGCGGCACTTCTTTCCAAAAAAGTCCTCTGCTCCCATTTTTGAAGGAACTCATTTTCAGAGGCACCACCTGTGCCCACAGATACACCCCTAACAGATTAACCAATATAGTCAACCTGGCAATACCGTGAGATAGGGGATACCTAATTTGGACGTGCCCGTCGCAGTGGTGGTAGTGGCTTGTTCATTCGGTGGCTGTGGAAGTGATGAATGAGCGGCAAACTGCGGCAGCCATTTTTCTATAATTTTTGCTGTCCAGTACAGGTCAACTAGTTTTTGCCCCCATTATTAGCCCCAGTGGGCCCAGCCAATTGAGCTATGCCCACAGGTATGCGTCCCAACAAGCCTGGAAAAGCGGCACCTGTCACTCCCATCAGAAGAGTTACCAAAATCGATGCCGGAGTTGCTTCCTTTGGGAAATTGGCTGAGACAGGAAAGACCATGTCAGAGGCATCCAAAGTACTAACTGATGCTCATGATGTACTTACCGACCGCACCTCTTCTCGGGTACAAAAGAGGAAAGCAACCGAGGAACTCACAGCAGTCAGTCAGTACTTGAAGCAGTCATCATCCGATATTGACCAGAATTTGAAGAAACTTGCTCCATTTCCTGGCTTTGATAATCGAGCATTAGCTATTATTGCTAAAGTCAACAAGGAAAATAGTCCAACAGATCTACAAATACCATCCACTCCGATTGAGAAAGTTAAAGCAATGGTTCATGATTATTCCAGCCAAACCGCCAAGAAGAAATCAGCTCCATCCGCAACAGCAGCAATCAATTCTACTGCCACTCAAGCCAATGCCATTATTCCACCACCCATCAATGGATCAATGTATGATCGACGTGAAATTATAGTATTGATCACTTCCTTCAAGAAGAATAGTAAGGCCCGCGGCAAGCTGATTCGAGAGATTTTGGAACAGAAGCTTGTGCCGCTTGGACGGTCTGGTCTTTTCCGAGTGATAAAGCAATTTGAGGATCATGTGGAAGATGGTGGCACCATCGATACATTTTCCAATGACCCATGGTATGTCAAGAAGGGCAATCAGCCTTTCATATCAGCTCAATCTGTTCAAGAGATTGTTGGTGAAATAGCAGCCCACCCAAGGAGATCCTTTTCTCAGAAACAAATCACAAATATGATGAAGGAAAAGAAGAGAGAAGAGCTTGGAAGACAAGGTTTGGTTGTCCTGCGAGAATCTGCTATTGAACCTCGCAACAACACTATGAGACGATATTCCCGTGCCATAGGCGGAATGAATCAGTCAAGCTGCGTCAAAAAGGTTGTTTACAAAACTGAAACTCGTGTTACTGCAGAGGGATCCAAACGATCAACCGGGGCCTTTGCTGCTACATGTGTTTTCTCCCAGTTCCTTGTTACGGAGACACTGTGTCCTTCTGTTGCAAAATATCTCCGTAATGAAGCTACTGAATCGGAACGCTTTGCCTACGACGTTGTCAGCAATTGCCTCGACGGTGCACCACTCAAACCCGTCAGAGCTTCCTTGCTGATCTCAATGGATGACACTGGCGAATATGCAGTGGAGGGTTTGAACAAGGATGCAGCTAGTGAAGTTTTTATCACTTCTGTTGGAACGCATGATGCCAATACTGGAGTTAAATCTGTATTCACTACCAGCCCAGCTCCAGCAGTTGCGAATGGGATTCGTGTGAAGATGACCAATTTGATGACTGCTGCTGGAACCACTGGACCTGTTTGGATGTCAGTAACAGGTTTGAATGAGAGAGAGCTTCCTAAGAGTGAAAACCCAGCTGGGATATTGGTTTTGTCAATTGCGGGTTTATGTGTGGGAGGCGGTGGCGTTACAGTCGGGCGTGAGAATTCTGGTTTTGTTGTTTTCGTGCGCAATGACGGTGACAAGGAAACTGACAAAGTCAGATACCGCCACTTCATCGATGATTGTTTATTGCCATGGATAGATGAGATTCGTGTTGAGGAGGGTTGGAAACGGGGCACTCCCATTCCAGATGATCTAACTGCTGTGGCATGGTGCGACGGAGACATCGCTCAGCTGGCAACCATTGCTGACGAGTCGACTCTTTCCAAATACAGGGACAGGAAAGTGCACCCGTACAAACAATCGGCGGCACGATCGGCAGCGGAACAGGCTGCTGATTTGAGCCCGAAGTTCAAGTTGGAAAAGGCTGTTGGTAAGGCAACAACCAGCAAAAATATTCCGGCGGCTGCTCATCGTTTCAAAAGCCGGATTTGCAATACATTTGAACAGGCTCGTTTGGAAAATGGGCTGAGACTCCCTGATCGCAAAGTGAAAGCTTTGATCGATTACATCAGCAAACATCCAGGTGTATTGGCGAAAGTTGTTACAACCCACATTATTGCCGCTGGATTCAGTGAAAATGGAATGGTCTCTAAGCCATTTGGCGCTGATGGACTTGCCTATCCTGACTTTGATGGATTGCTTGGAACTTGTAGCAAGACGATGAAAAGTGATGACATTGATTTCATGAAGAGTCATTTTCCACGGTTAGTGACAGAGGTGATAGATCATGGTCATGTAGGAGAAACTGTGTTTGATGAATTAGATTTTCCCATGGATCTTGACTCTCTTGGACAGGAGATTCCCAAACATCAAGGAATCAGCCAAGAATTCCGTCAAAGGGCAAAATGCCTAGATCATGACCATCAAGTTCAGCTGAGAGCCGCCAAGATTCTACAAGCCAACGCAAAGCAGGACAACTTGTATCAGAAAGAGTGCAAACGATACACAGATCTTGTTGATACCAATGAAGCCTGTGAAAAGAAGCTGAATGAAGCATTGCAATTGGCCAAGCTGAATATGCCCCATGCTACATTGGCACTTTTTGATGGGCCAACTAAGGCAGAGCTTCAGGCATTTGTTCATGTTCGATCATTTCCTACAGTGAACAAAACCAAAGATTGGCCCAGTGAATTGGCAGCTGGTTGGCCACCAAAGAAAGGAAAATCTACTGATCCCATTGTGCCAGAATCTGACAAGTGTCTTGTGCTATTAGCTTACGAATGCAGAACCAAACCAATTATCATTGAGAAACCAAAAGAGAAATCTATTATTGTCTCGAAACCAATGTCAGCGCGTCATCTTGGAGCCATCATCGTTACTTCAACACAGTCTAGATTCATTGCAAATAGCTACATATTGGCTTCTACCTTGATGGAAACTGAGGCATGGATGAATATGGCAAGTGAGCTCTTTGGTTTGAATATGAACAACATTACAATCAACCAAGCTCTGCTTGCCAAAGCTGATTTCTTACAGTCAAGGTTGGTTCCCAGATTGGAATGGCTAGTGGATGGAAGTCAGCGGGTCAAAGATCACAACAAGAACAACTGGTGCTGGAATTTCCAAGCAAAGAGGCTTGGCCATGTTTCTGCTCTCTTTGCGGTGGCAGATATAATTGTGCAGGATTTGGGATGTCTCGATATGACCGACAATCTATTGGCGGATCCATCCAAATTTAGGCTTGTGACAATTCATATGCGAGTCGATGGTGCGTATTTCTACTGGGACAAAAATCGGAGGCAATGGGTTCGTGCTGGAATGGTGGCAAGCTCCTCGGTCAGCCCTGGTCGGTACATGTACCAAAGAGATGTGGAGCATAAGAACGGTGCCAAGCTAACCACTACAGAGGCCAGAAAATCCGAATTTTATTCGAGTTATCCTCTTCTAGGAGATGCAGATCCTTTATCATTTGGTGGTGGAAGGCAGGGATTCTTTGAAAACTTGGAACAATATGTTGGATTGGGTGTGACTCTACCGGCAGCAGGTCCAAGCTTTGGAGCCAAACTTGACGAACAGACCGCACAATTGGTAAGGCTGTTCGATGTCACTCAAGCAGAATCGGAAAAGATCAAAACGATGAACAGCAAGCTCACACATGTCGAGAACAAAAGACGAGCCATCCATTACATGCTGGAGTGTGCTTGTGGTTTGCTGCTTGCTCCCAGCTGCAATATCTCAAGCAACCCTGGCTGGGAGCAGGCATTGAAACAATACAATTAGATGTCAGTACTAACACTTAGTAGCCAACAAGCTATTTGTAGCTGCAACATGACTACTAGGTAGGTAGGTAGGTAGGTGGCTAGATAGCTAGCTAGATATCTGGCTAGATAGCTACCTAGCTAGCTAGATACCTGGCTAGATACCTGGCTAGATAGCTGACCAGCAAGGGGCAGCGCGCCACGGACATTCTTAATGATAAGGGATTTAGAATTTTACTTTTTTATTTTTCCGATTTTGTGATGAATTTACGTTTTGTACAAGCTGGTTCTGCACTGTTTGTGCGGCGAAAAGCTACCCTGTACAAGAATGGACCAGTCCAGTGGTCGGGTACACAGTAGAGAGGGCACGGTTGAAGTTGCAAGACGGATTGCACGTTTGGAATTTCTGGTCGTTGTGCTCCTCCTTTCTTGCCCTCACAATTTTTCGACCGCCAACCTTCACCAAAGCAAACCGAACCATGCCACCCAAACCGACAATGGCGCCTCCACCCCCTCCACCAAGAAGAAAACAGCCTCCTCCTCCGGCTCCAAGAAAAAGAATGCCACCACCGCCACCTCCGTCAAGGACCATGCCGGTGGCGCTTGTTTCGCCCTTGAGGACCGACGAAAATAACCATCGGCCACGACCACCGCCTTCCTTCATGTCTCCCGTGCGAAGAACACCCGGTCCGGTGCCTGTGACACCCCTTCGACACGAAGTGCAATCACCAAACCGCACTCCACCACGGGGACAAAAGAGGCCTTTCGAAGAAGTCCGACCCATCCCATACCACAAACGTTTTCGCTGCTGTCGCTCTGTGAGAGAAGTCTATGACTTTTCCTCGGAAAGCAAGATCGGTCAGGGCACCTTCGGATCTGTCTTTAAGGCAACCCACAAACAAACAGGCAGGCCTTGGGCCTTGAAACTCATCAATCCACCACATGAACCAAACAGCGAGGAAGGCATTTCCATTACAGCTCTGAGAGAAGTCAAACTCTTGTCCAAGCTGAGACATCCAAATGTTGTCTTTCTCAAGGAAGTGGTGGATTCCTTGGAAAACAGAGACGGGAATGGAAAAGGAGCGATTCCTCAGCGCTTCTTTCTTGTCCTGGAACACTGTGATTACGACTTGGCGGGAATTGTGGGAACACCCGAAATCCAATATTCCTGGAACCACATTCACTCCTGGTCCTGTCAGTTGTTGAAAGGACTGCAATTCATCCACAACTCCAAAGTACTCCACCGTGACATTAAATCAGCCAACCTGCTCATCAACAAACGTGGCGAACTCAAAATCGCCGACTTTGGCTTGGCTGTTCCTGTCGCAGAACCGCAAAAACGATTGACCCACATGGTCCAGAGTCTCTGGTACCGAGCACCCGAACTCTTGTTGCATTGCTATCAATACACGGCCAAGATTGATACCTGGAGTGTTGGTTGCATCTTGGCAGAACTCGTCTGTCGGAAACCTCTCTTTCGGGGTACCAGTGAAGACCATCAACTCCAGTTGATCTTGTCGACTTTGCCCGTGGCGTCTTGGGCTGGTGCGGAAAAGGAATGCCGACGAAAGGTGCCGGCCGTTCACAACCACATGTCCTTGCGGCAACGCTTGCGCTCGCCCCGATCACAGGGCTATGTAGAACGATTACTGCCACTCATTACCAATCTGCTCCAGGTGAACCCTGCGCAGCGTTGGTCCGCCACACAAGCCGTGCAAGCCGACTTGTTCCGTCATGCTCCACGGGAGCTGCGCATGGACTTTGGTGTCGAGACGGCACATGAATGGGGATGTCGGCGTCAACGACAAAACAATAATGAGATGCCCGCACAACAACAACAAAAGACGGACCAGAAAGAGACCGGATACGTGAACCGTCTCTTGTCCAACTGGAAACACAAAAAGCCCCAGGGCAAAACCAACAAACGATAGAAACACCCTCTTGTTTACTTTAAACAACTCTGACTCTCCATCTGCTTCCTGTAATGTAGTCATTGGTCTATTTGGCCTTCGAAACGGAGACGTTGAAGTAGGCTAACTGGCGACTTTCCGTTCTCGTGGCGTCCTTCCGAGAAGACAGCGAGGCTTCGCGCTCCGCGGCGGTAGGAGGTCCACTCGCAGTAGGACGACGAGACGCGTCCCTGATGTTTCCCTTGAAAAGTTTGACATCAAAATACTTGAATTGACGGCTTTCGAATTTCTTCGCGACCTGACCAGAATGATGGACACTGGTGTCACTTTCGCTCTGTTTGGCATTGTTTTCACCAGAACTGCCGCGCAGGATTGCTCCAAACATTTCTTTATCGAACTGCTCGGGATGCTTGGCCATGATGAGCGAAACCGGTGTACCAAATCCCTCAAACGCATCGGGCTTCTCGCTTTCTTCCCGATGGTAGCGAGCACTGACATGATGCACGGCAAGCGGGCGGCCGGACGGCGATTCCAAATATAGAGCCCCGCAGTCACCATTTTGCGAAATCCGAAGTTTTGGATCATTCCAATGACCAAAACCAATGTCACTGGGGAACAAGTTTGTCTCCCCCTCTGAAGGATCATCTTGCGTGGGAGAAGATACAATGAGTCGAGCACCGCGGGTAAACGCACCGTACATCCAGTATTCGGTGCCTTGCTGGGGCGGAAGCGGGCCTAAGGTTGGAGTTGGCAATGCCAGGGTACGATCACCTAGCCCCGATTCTGGTGCAAGTTGCAGCAAGTCAAATCGATCTTTCACGTCCTCACGGGTCACCTCGAACAACAGAGAGTCTGTGTCCTCATCCTTCGACACGACCTCGCCAACCTCATACACTTCGTACTCTTCTAGGTCCGTGTCGTTGTTGTACGATACCCCTACCGTTGGTTCGCTGCGCAGAAAGACGAACAAAGGCTCGTTCAACTCTTCGAGGTGGCCAACGGTCAAGCCGTAAATTCTGCCGGAACTGTTTTTGAAGAGAAAGGCAATGGTTGCACTTTTGCCCTCCTTGTTCAAGATCCAATGGCCACCGCGGATATTACCGTCCTCGAGGCTAAATACTTTTTTCTCGACTCGATTAACACGCTCAGTCTCTGGGGTCCAATTCGTAACTGCGGTGCTGTCAAGCTTTGGGCTGTCAGCAGCAGCCGAATCCTGTTCTCGTCGTGCAATGGCGGCTTGCGGCGAGTCCAAATCGCTTTGCTTCTGAAGCTTACTATTCGAAGCCATGCTTGGTAAAGTGAAGGCGGCGAGATTGTGCGGCAATGTCAAACTGAGCGGTGTTTGTTGCGCAATGTCTGCCGGTACGCCTGTCTGCTGGAAGGAGAGGAGCGTGGGGTGACTGGCTTTGACGAGCGAGACGTGAGGGGAACCGACATTGTGGACAGCGTGTTCCCAGTTCTCCGCGATACCGGTAGGCTACAATAGTAGTTTGCGAGCAAAATATTTTCTAGAACAAATTTGAACGGTAAAGCGCCGTTGTGTCATTCGGGAACCCTCTCGTTGTGCGGTGGCGATCTCGGAGGAAGCAGATCAAAAAAGCATTGTGTATCAGGGGAGCTTTGGCCCGGAAGTTTACCGGTACCCTCACTCATGAAGAGGTTCTCGAGCACTGGTCCTCGCGCTGACGGAAGGCATAGTCTGGGTCAAGACAATCACTACCGTATCACCGTTCGATGGGCGGATGTATGACAATGGTCTTGCTTGAGGCGGGCTGTAACATTGACATGCAGTGATTGTGGCATTAATTAATTTGTGGACTAGAAAGTGATGAGACGGAAAAGGTTGATACTCATCAAACCTCATAGATGGGAGACACAAACGTTTCAGAAGAATTGTCATCATCTGTGCCAAAAGATAATGAAATAATTCAAGCACCACCAGGGGTACTGCGTCATGCTGTATAGATTGTATGGCTCAGATGCAGAAGCCATTGTTGCATCCAATGTGGAGTGCACTGGGATCAAAGTCATTGTTGAATCTGTCATGTTGCTTGTTGGGGAAGGGGTAGTAGCGAGCTGGCTGTAGTATTGGAGATGTTGGCTCAGTGTCTTCAGTTTGCCTTTTGCTTTTGAGTTTTTGAGTTTTGTGAGTTTTGTGAGTTGAGGACCACTCCATCCTTTGCTCCCATTACTACTCGTAGCGGTAACTTGGCTCAACCACAACATCATCCGTACCAACAGTCTTGCAAAAAGGGAACAATGACCCTGCTCTTGGAGGCGTGGTATCTGCGCTTTTATTCGTGCTCTGGGCAATCAACTAAATCTATTTAGTACGTACAAAAATTATGTTAAGTCCTTTTGAGTGATTTTTATTCGCGCCTGACCAAAATGATGCTCAGCTGCATGTATGATACCCCTGCAAGTGGTACGCTTCCAGCTTCTAGCTAGAGCAGCGCTCAGACTGCCCACTGCCCACTACTTGCCAAAATGTACCGATAGGCCCGAGGTCCAAAGGATTTGAAGCCCATTAGCCCATTCTCAAGATACGGTATGACGCAGGAGTGACGGGCTATCATTCATACAGGATTTTCAGTACACGTGTATGAGCTGCAAGGGTGGTGCGTTTGCGTTGCTTCGTTTAATTTAATACATGATGTATTGAATTGACTTGGCGACAACACTTTATTTTAAAAAAGCTATCGTAGATCTGAAACAAGACTCCGGAGAGTGGGCAAACCATTCAGATAGATTCTTTCAGGCTGGCTGCATCACGATTTGAGCCGCGTGTCGGTTTGCTTCCGCCAGCGGGTGGGCTCGAGTTGCCTGCCACCGTCTCCAGTGGGAGGCCCGCCGGCCTGCCCCACAGTGGTCTTCACAGGCTCATCGGTTTTTCTCGGCAAAGGCATGCCCGGACTGTATCCTTTATTTTTAAATAAAAACAAGTCTAGCTAGCAGCTACACCTTGCGAATGGGCCCATCTTTGTAGAATGCTGCAAACGATGCCTCCAACCCGGGGAATGTCGAAAATCCCAAGCCCGATTCGGCGGAATACAATTCTCCCACATACGGACGAGCAACCTCTTGAAGCTGGCCTCGTTTCAACATGTGAAGATTGAGCGTCCACTTTGCACGAATGCACTCCCCCGGTGCCTCCCCAGTAATGTGATTCAGCCCACTGGGGATATCAATGGCCAAAATACCCTTTGCATTATTACCCGCTTGATTCATGGCTTGAATAGCCTGCTTGGATATTCCTCGGGGTGGATCCGTAATGCCCGTACCCAAAATACCATCAATCAGCACTCCTTCAAACTGTTGAATCTTGTCCAAATCGAGCGGAAACAGCCTGTCGCCCCCGGCAAAATCATGGTACAAGTCTATTTGTTCTCGAATGTTGGGACGAAGATCATCTTTGGCTGGATCTACCAGTAACACTACAAAAGTCTCTCGTCCTCTCAGATGCAACATGCGTGCCGCGGCAATGGCATTGGCACCGTTGTTGCCTTTGCCAGCCACAAACAAAAAGGGAATACTACTAGTAATGTCGAGATGATAGAGGAGTGTATCGGCCACACGGGTGGCCACTCCCTCCAACACACGCACTCGACCCAACTTTTCCGTCACTTCCAAATCGATGCGCCTCGCTTCCTCTCCGTCCAACAAGGGGAGATCTATCGCCGATGGTGGACCTGGGTTTGCCATGTCTGTATAGATTTGGTACTGTAGCCGAAACAGGTGAGTGGTGTGCGTGGTAGTGTGGTAGTACTGTGCGTGGCGTAACTTGCAAGTGCTAGAGCTTTCAGAAAGCGATCTAGACGCAGCCAAAGCCACGGAACACGGAATGGCTGGCAACACAGAAGTGGACTGTCACTCGTCACTCCAGTTCTCTTGCTTGTGGTCTCTTGGATGATACAGCCTCAATGGGATGAGTGCTTCTGCTTTGATATCTATCTCTGCTTTCTAACTAATGGTGATCGGAAGATTCCTGGATCTTAGGGGCTTTTGGGGCCATTGTGCTACCTTGTCGTCGCAAGAAATCTTAGGCCACTCCACGCCACCTTCAGAACTATCAAAAGATCTAGTACGGTACCGGTACGGCTAGCTAGCTAGAGGTTTCAACCACATAGACACCACAGGCGCAGATCTTTTGCCCTGAGGTGCGGCCCTACCGAGAGGTGCAGGTTTTTGCCCCCGATCACTTCTTTTTTGGAGCTAAAGCAAGTCCACTGTGCCGGTAGTTTTTGAACAAGCCTACTGAGAGTTTGTCAAGGGATTGGTTCACGAGCAAGTTGTGACAAAATAGCACTATTGTACGTTGATGGAACGAGTTGCGGTTTGCTATCTTTAGAAATAGCTAGCTACAAGTGGCTGTGGAGTGGCACAGTACCGGTACGCGACTGTATTGGATCGAATTATCTATCTATCTTTAGAAATTCTCATTCCCGAGAACATTGCAGAGAGATTGACATCGCACGGGTTGCTTGGTCTTCAAACAGCCTTGTAAGCTGCTATCTTGGATCTGGATGCGAAGTCCTGCGGATCTTTCTTGCCATCCACGCAACCATGCATCGCTCATGGCCAATAGAAACATCTTCGTTGACCTCCACTACTCTCAAGTTTAGAAGAAGACCACTTGCCTTCCAAATACTCCAGATAACTACAGCTAGCTAGCAATTCAGTGACTGAATAGTATTTTCTATAAAAAGATGGCCACAACGACAGCAACAGATAATGAAAGCACGAAACCGACCTACGTGGAATCGTTTATTCCTCCCGCGACACTGGAACGTTTGGAAGCGGGTGCGTTCGGTCAATTGGTGAACCACTTGAAGGATCGGTCGGAGCAAGTCCAGAATATCGATCTCATGACGATTAGTGGATTTTGTCGCAATTGTTTGGCCAAATGGATTGTCGTGGAAGCCAGACGGTTGTCGCAGGAATTGAAGCAGCAAGCGGATAGTAGCACTAGTAGTAATCAACAAGAAGAGCTGTGCCAAGCTCTGGATGCGTTGGGATACGACCAAGCCGCCGAGCACGTGTACGGAATGGGATATGGAGAGTGGAAGAAGCGCTACGCTAAAAAGGCGACTGATGAAATCATGGAAAAATACAACCATAGCAAATCCATTCATGCGACTCATGATAAGGAACTATTGGCGACCAAGGCACAAGCACCCACAGTGCCACTCAACAACAATAGTCCTACTACCAAAACAACCCCACTACTGCTGGCCAATGTCTGTTGTCAAGATCCAGAAGAAGTAGCTATTTCCAAAGAAAAACCTCCCCCAAAGACGTCTCGACAGGTCACACCACAAGTACCACCACCCCCCGCTGCATCACTCAGCATGAAAGTTGCCATTTTGACTGTCAGTGATCGCGCGGCTGCCGGTCAATACGAAACGGGAGACTTGTCAGGACCTGCCGTGGCACAAGCGCTCGAATCGGTCATGACACAACTACAACTACAATCTTCGTCAAATATCAATAAACTGGAGTATCAAGTGGTGGCCACCGATATCGTGGCCGATGATACGTCTCAAATTCAATCCAAAGTGAAGGAATACGCTACTACTACAGCTGGCGCTGTCATAGACTTGATTTTAACCACGGGAGGAACGGGATTTGCGCCGCGCGATGTGACACCGGAAGCGACACGGACTATTTTGGACCGCGAATGTCACGGACTCATGGCATTTGTCACAAATGAATGTTCCCGACTCCAACCCATGGCGTCCTTGTCGCGAGGTACGGCGGGAATTCTGGGCAGATCGTTGGTGGTCAATCTACCTGGCAATCCCCAGGGAGCGGCCGAAATTTTACCCGTCTTGATGCCATTGGCGTGTCATGCCATTGTCGATTTGCAAAAAGAGAGCAAAAACTGAGCAAGCCATAAAGACGAAGGAAAAGAGACGGACGCATCAATCAATAGTTCATTTGTGAGTGAGTTCTTTAATTTAAGCCAGCGGAGCTGTGTAACCTCGGCAGAAAGGTTTCAGTGTAGAAGCAGATACCCCTATCTAGCTAGCTAGAAGCAGATACCTCTAGTGCTTAGCTAGTGCTTAACTTGCACTTAGCTAGCTAGAAGCAGATTCCTCCTAGCTAGACGCAGATTTCCATAGCAAGCTAGAAGCAGATACCCCTAGCTAGCTAGAATACTAGTCATAGCATTCGCTGGCTTTAGAGTTTTTCCTGGTAGAAGCAGATCCCCCTACTAGGATGCATGTAAATAGCTTTAGCTGGTTTAAAAGCACTATCCTACTAGGATACTTATTTTAAAAGTTTTTGCTGACTTATTTCTATTCTAACCCTACCCTTATACCTGCAGGGACCACCGTAGCAGGAAAAACAATTAAAGGGGTTGAGGGCTCTGGCAGCAAGACTGCCGAGGTAAAGTATGGTAGTTCTGATTCTAAGATTGGTGGTTGCTTTTGTGGAGTACGGTAGAACAGCTGAAGCTGGAGTTGCATCCACAAGACAGATTCTTTCTGAGTGTCAGGCTAGTACTGGTGGCTATTGCAACAGATGCATGTGGACTATTGTTCTATGCTACTAGCAAGGCAGTTACCAGCCACAGCAGGATTGTAATGGACAGCAATGAATGAGACCTGGTTCCAGACAGGTTGTTGCCTTCCACAGAAAGAACTAAAAGGCTGGTCAGCAGTTCAAATTCAGAAGGAATGCCACCAGTGAGATTATTGTCCTTCAACCCCAAGTAAGCCAAAGCAGTTAGTTGCCCAAGTGCACTACGCTAAAAGCTAGTGTAAAGATCTTTCGAGTGTTTTGAGTTTGAGAGAATGAAAGTTATGAGAGGATTAGAAAGCTATGAAAAACTAATCAACGAGAGAGATCATCAGCGTAGTGCAAACGAGAGAGATTTACAACCAAAGGATCGTAGATCTGAACTCCCGCGGGAGACTGTAAAGTGTGATAGAGTAGGTTGCGGTAGCAATCCTACTCACTCCACGATCCAAAAACGGAACGCGTGGAAGATTCGTCTAGCATTTATCTAGTGGCGTGGAAGTACTCCACGCTGGCTAAATATCTAGAGCGATGTTTCATCATCAACCTAGTATGACTAGAGCGGTCATTGAGAACCCTGTCTCAATGACTATTCACGAGAGACTCAGTCATGAGTCGAACTCAACCCTATCTAGGATCGAGTCGCGAATAAGGCTAAGAGCCGTGTATTGCACAAGCTCTGAAGGAACCTGCCCAGTGAACTTGTTTCCAACCAATGACAAATCTGACAAACCTGTCAATAGTCCAAGCTCCGAAGGAATTTTCCCAGTGAATGCATTCTTTCCCAACCACAAGTAAACCAAGTCAGACAGTTGTCCAAGCTCCGAGGGGAGTTGGCCAGTCAGCAGATTTCCAGCCAAGCTCAACAAAGACAAACCAGTCAATAGTCCATACTCGGAAGGAACTTGGCCGCTCAACTGATTTCCACTCAAACGCAACAAAGTCAATGCATTCAAACTTCCCACATTGGAAGGTATTTGATGGCTCAACAAGTTGTCCCACAAATCCAACTCTTGCAAAGCAGTCAGTTGAGTCAGCTCTGATGGAATTTGACCAGTTACCAACTGTAAATGCAATCGGAACAAAACCAAATCAGTAAGTAGACCAAGCTCTGGGACTATTGAACCAGTAAGTGCATTTGCTGCAAAAGACAACTCAGTCAAAGAAGTTAGCTGCCCAAGCTCTGAAGGGATCTGCCCTGACAAGTCATTGTACTGCATCCACAAATCAGTCAATGCAGTAAGCTGTCCTAGCTGTGAAGGGATGTGGCCAGAAAGCTGATTGTACAGCAACCACAGACTAGCAAGAGCAGATAATTGCCCAAGTTCAGAGGGAATCTTGCCAGTCAACAGCTGACGATGCAATCTCAAGGAAACCAAAGCAGTGAGTTGTCCCAACTCGGATGGAAATGGGCCTTTCAACTCATTGCTCTGACCAGAGAAAAAATTGCCATGCAGTGACAAGTCCGTCAAAAGAGTCAACTCGCCAAGTTGAGAAGGAATTTGACCGGACAATTGGTTGTATTGCAGCCACAAGTCAGTCAAAGCTGTCAGAAGCCCAAGTTCAGAAGGAATTCCACCAGTCAACTTGTTTCTCTCCAGCCTCAAGAGAGTCAAAGCAGTCAGGAGGCCAAGATTGGAAGGGATTTGGCCACTCAACTGGTTGTTATACAATCCCAAGGTACTCAAAGCAGTCAAACCATAGAACTCTGATGGTATCATGTCAGCAAGGGGCAGTTGCAGGTCATTGTGGCCCAAGTCAACTCTGGACAGTGATGTTAATTAACAGAGCAATCTCAGAGGGAACGAAACTTGCTCTTTTTGAGAGCTCCAAGTTTTGCAAGAACAGCGAAGTGAATTCTCCTAGATGATTGCAAGGGTCACCTTCAGCACTAGAGTACCACAAGCACTCATCATTGGTTTCATCCATCCATGGTTGACTACTTTCCTGAATGCTTGAAGGCCACTCTTCTCCAGCAAATGCAAAGAAGAAGGAAGCCAAAGCATAGAGCTGGTCTTTCTTGTCCTTGGGCAACACAGTGTTGTTTGGGTAACGTTCAAACCAAGTCTTAGCCTTGGCCTGGGGCGGGCCCAAACTTGGAGCCAAGGAGGAGGATGCATTAATATTGGATGAAGACGGAGCCATGGGTAAAGATTGAGCTGTGGAAAGTGGTTGGGAAGGGGGCATGGAAATGTTAGGTGGCCCAAGCTTTCTTCTCAAGCCAACAAGCACTCCAACAATGATGCCTGCTGCAATGAACAGGACAAGTGTTGCGAGAATGAAAAACTGCCACTCCCTTTTCTGTTTCTGCTCTCTCTGCTCAGCTTCCACTAAATCCATTGGGCTTGCATGCATCATTATAGCAGCATCTTCTTGGTCCTCAAGGACAGGATTAGCCTGGGCCAACTGGCTGCTAACCAATGGGTCTGTTTGCGGTATTGTATAAACTGAGGCAGCTGGGCGTGCAATGTGGCTGTTAGCACTCAGTAGACTGTAGTTGAGAGTCCGTGTTCGTTGTAGTGATCCTCCAGGAGCATCCAAGTATGCACCTGGCCGAGGCTGCTGCTGCGGGCTTTGTTGGGTTGTTTCGTGGTTTGACACACCCAATGATGGGATGTCTTGATCCGTACCGGTAGATTGGACAGTGTCCCCATGCGTTGGCATTCTAGTTCTGGGTTGTCTTCTGTTTCGCTCTTTCTGAAAAAAAGATAGCTGGCCATTTCTTTGAGTGTCACTTGGTTGAGCTGCAGTGATGTTTCCCTTGTGGACAGAAATACGTTTTGATTGTGTGTGCTTTTCCTTTGCGAAGAATGCTAGCTGACCACTGCTTTGAATATGGTCAAGTCTTGCTTCCAAGGCACTAAGCCTAGAATATGTGGAATTTGCATTGTTGCGTTGGCGGTTGTCGTTAAGAGTCTGTTCATCCTCATCTTCTTGGATTTCGTGCGTCGCTATGGCTGCTGGTCTTGTGTCGCCGTTGGATACTTCTGTTAGCTGGGCAGTTGTTTCGGTCAGCCTTAGTATGTATTCTGCATGGGCCTTTTCTTCTGGCGCCATCTTCCTGTCAGCCATATCTGGTGCTTCCGCATTCGTTGTGTCAATTCTCTTTTTGATGTCATTGCTGTCCCCCCTGTTGATAGTTGCATCGGGTACTCGGCGCTGGATGTTCGTTGTCTCCGAAGTAAATGCCTGAGCTTCCTTGTCTACATCTTTCTGATCCCCCGACATTCCATCTTCCTCTGTATCCATTGGAGATCGACGCACCCAGTACGGGGCTCCTTTTGTTGCTTCTGTCACCAACGGGCGAAGTTTCCAACCGGGGTGTGAATGACTATCATACAAAGCACTTTCTTCACTGTTTGCCTCCGACTTTACAGTCTGGTGTCTTTCTCGGACCAAGCTGCCGCTACGCCAATCATCAATAAAGCTGGATCTCCTCCAACTTGAATGGACAGCAACATGCAGAGCAGTCAAGCTTCGGTTTCGGTAAGGGCCGGTCCAGTCAAGGTCGGTAATCATGAGCAAACCAAGACTGGAAGAACAAAAGCAACCCGCCTAACAGGCTTACCACCAACATTTGCTGCTTGGTGCTTTGTTCCTGCCATGGCTGGACCGGATGCAACCCACGGAGACGACGCGGTTCGTCGAATTGTTGGGGATATGAGAATGATGAAGTCTAAGCACAGCATACAGAGTACCAGGTACTGATGTTGATGTGCGTTGCTTCTGCTCAGAAACTTCGTTCATGCGAAAGATGATATCATTCTACCGGTTTCGACGATCCTTCCTGCCGGGAGCTGAGCGAAGAAACCGTTGAAGTTGAATTTTTCCACACAAGATTTCTGCGAGATGCACCGATGCATGGCAATGATGTAGTACAATCCTGAATGCGCCAACCTAGATGAGCCAAACGAGTCATCCGTCATGGCGACAGAAGAGACCTCCCTTCTTCAGGGCAACAACAACGACGCTGGAAGAAGAGCACCAAGCAATGACGAGCAACAAGGGTCTTCCATCTTTGCGGCAGCCATGAACTTTGCCAATTCGATTGTTGGAGCAGGATGCATTGGCCTGGGAAGTGCGATTGCACGATCGGGTGGATTGGCTGCCATTTTCGCCATCATCTTCTTGGCCATTCTGACCAAGTTTTCGTTTGATCTCGTCATTGAGCTATCCATTGAAACGGGGGGTTCCTATGAACAACTTGGATCCTACACGTACGGAACTGGAGGACGAATCTTGGTCATGATATCCAAGTTCCTCTTTGCCTATGGCTGTATGGTGGCCTACATCAAGATTGTAAAAGACAACTTTCCCTCCGCCATGCTGGATATGACAGGTTGGGCACTCTGGGAGCCAAACCATGCCAATTGGGTCACGATTTGTTTGAGTGCCATGGTCATGTTGCCCTTGTCTCTGCTTCGGGACATGACACCTCTGGAACGTGTTTCCATTGTCAAATTTGCCACGCTCTTGGCCATGTTATGTACCATTTTCTACTTGTACCCAGCCAATCACATTAGTAGTGTCGACCAACAACACGGCATGTGGGTCGACCACTGGTTCGTCGTGCAGCCAGGCATTGTTGCCGGCCTCGGGACTCTTGTCTTTACCTTTGTGGCACAGCACACGGTCAACTTGGTTTTTGATTCGCTGCGTCCCAATCTACAAAACATGGTGCATTGGAAAGTCGTCTCCACCTGGTCCGTGATTCTGGCAGCCACCTTCTCGAGCGCCATTGGGCTGGCAATCTACGTGACATTCTGGGATCGATCTTCCAGCAATATCTTTGTGCTCTATGCACCATCTCTGCCCTTGTCCATCACCAAGCTGTTGCTGAGTTGCATGATTATGCTGACCTACCCCATGCCCTTTTTGAGTTGCCGGGAATTGCTGATTCTGTCCATACCACAACAATCAGCAGCAGCAGGAGGAGCAGAACAACCTTGGTGGCTGTTGGAACCCAAGCAATTGATTCCACCGCTTCACGTCTTGCTGACTGTGTGTCTATGGGCATCTTCGGCCATTTTGGCAGTCTTGGTGCCGTCCTTGGCGGATGTGTTGGACCTGACAGGATGTGTAGCCGGTACCGCCATTGCATTTGTACTTCCGGCCATGTTTTCTTTCAAACTACATGGCTACAACCATCTTGCGGCCTTTATCTTGCTCGTAGGAGGCACCATTGGACTGGTTGGGACAGTTCAGAGTCTCCGCAAACTGATTCAAGACGTGTAACCAGACCGGTAAGGAGTGAAGTGCCTGAGGAAGTGCAGGAGCCCCTGTGTGCTCTGGTCAAGTACGCATTCGGCAGTTCGGGTGCCATCCTCGGGATGAGCTCGGCAACGAAGGACTGCACCCACCTGGCAATGAATCCATAATTATCATGGGAACAAGTTTGATGCAGAGTGACGCCACCCAGCTTGATGCAGAGTGACGCCCACCCAGCGAGAGGCTGGTTACGCGATTCTGGGAAGATTCCACCATCCGGTCTTCTCCACTGCTGTTTTGTGGGGATTTGACTCGCTTCCCGCACAGTGTCAAGGCTGCAAAGAAATGAATGGTGAAATACGCACAAATGGGATCACTTTAAACGTCGCAACTGTTTATCTTTTACTTTGAATGGCTGCTACAATAGTCAGATTTCGCGACCAACTGCCTAGCTAAGGTAGAAGAACTTTTCGACAACGTCTGCATGGTGGGTGAACAAGGCAGCAGCAATGCAGAGGAGCTGCGGTCCAGGTTGATTGAACGTGAGCTCAAACGCTTCCACGTAGTAGGGGACTTTGAACTGACCATTCTCAGCATCTACAACAAGCCTTCGTGGACCATTTTGCTTGTTGGAACGTTCCTTTTTTTGGATGGTTCCAATGAATGGCTCTCCCGAGGGACCCAAGGATGAAGCTACAGCCAATTGGACAGCAAAGGTTGTGGCCATGTCATTGCCTACCAAGTCACCGGTAAAGATGTGGCTGGCATTGGCAACCGTAACAGCGACCCAGGACAGGGAAATCACATGGGCAACCTTTTGAATCCAATGGGGTGGGTATTCAAAATTGAGCTCATCAAACACAGGCATAGGATCCCATGGAGCTTTGTAGACAATCAGGTCTTCCAAAAGTTTTAATCCGGCGAGTGCCAGTGCGATGTCGGTAACTTGCATGGCCATGGAAGGCATGGCATCCCCCAAAAGATGCGCTGCAGCAATCACTGCAAGGACGGCTCCATAAAGCATTGAGTTCTGCATAGTTATAGCATACAATGGGTGTTTCTTTTCTGGAGCCATCTTCTGGGTAGCAGTGGTCACAGAGGTCACAACAGTTCCCAACAGCACTGCTGACAGAGCAATGCCGTTGGGGCTGGACAATGACATGTCAGAGAATGTCGACCAGTCATCCCAGAAGAACTCACGGGCCAAAGAGGACCAGAGCAATGCACTGCCACCTGCATACCAGACTGCTCCCCCAATTGCATGAAGCCGTGTAGAGTCAAGGTGGGTGAAGAGAGAAAGACCGAGCTGTTCATTCAAAAGTTGTGCCCATTTTGGCAATGCAGCCTTCCCGGATCTCTGACTCGTGCTCTTCTTCTTGGGAACAGCAATTGGAGGCGCAGATACTGGTACCCCTTCCAATGGTAGAAGCTCCTCCCGAAGCCCTTCTGGCAAGTACCGGTACTCGGTTATTCTTGTGGTCTCGGATTCGAATTCAGCTGGTTCTCCAATTCTGGTAACTTGCCATGTACGAGGACCACGGTTGGTACCAGACAATGATGGCTGGAATCCAAAGGACAAGGAAACAGCAGTGGAAAGAGAGAGTGTAAGAGGCAGTGCAAGCTTCATTTTGGTGTTTATGTATGTAATCTGTTTTTAGTTAGGATGTGATTTATGATTTTGTGATCCTGTCCTCAGAAAGATGCACTGATCCCCCTGTGCTTATTTGATCGCTGTGCTTCACTGTATACCATACGGTACATGGTAGATTGCCTTGTGGTGCTCAGGATCACTTGGCTTTGTTTTGTGATCATGCAGATCAGGTCCAGTGGCCTGGCCAAGCTGGCCCGTTCTTGTACCTGTGACTGATCCTGTGGTGGCCGACAAGGTCGCACACTCTCCTTTGGGTCAGCCGGTGAGAAGTTGAGCTTGAAGAGGTGGATTGACCATACTAGACTATTACCTGAATGATACACTAATAATAAATGCTATATGGAGACATTAAGGAGCGAGGGGGGCTAAGCGAGGCAGAGCGGTGGCATCGGTACCGGGAGTGAGTAGCACGGGTAGAGCAGGGCAAATGGGGCGAGGGGGAAGGGGAATGTAAAAGGAGCAAAAGGAGGAAGGAGAGGGGAAGGCAAGAGGGAGCAAGAGGGGGCAAAATTATTGGAAGAGTGCAAGTGCACCATCGGCATCCCAGAGAGAATGGCGATAGCTCATTGTGCCAGCAGGGGCACGAGAGCCACACATGCGGAGGAAGCGGGCCCGAAGAATAATTGAATCGGGGTTACTATGGATTAGAGAGAGCTAAGAGGAGGATGGAGACAGAGGTCAAGGGGGGCACGACACAGGAACGCAAGGCAGGCAATCAAGTGCGCAAGCAGGGCAACATGGAAACCAAGGATAGGGGTGAAGGCAGGAGGGCAGGGAGGAGCAAAGGAGCAAGACTAGCGGAAGAGATCGAGGGCACCACAGTCATCCCAACGCTTGGAAACCTTGAGAGCTGAGACACGGGAGCCTCTCAAACACAATGTCGTGGCACGGGCAAGAGCTAGGCTCAACCTGGCCGAGATGAAAGAGCGAACCACAGAGCAGGGCTCGGACCACTTGTGAGCCAAAAGCTGGGAGAGCCGTTGGAGAACAGCAGTAGCTTCGGCAGCAAAGAGGCCAGCAGCAGAAACAACAAAGGGGGTGAAGTGGCGGCGTTGTGCAGTGCACTGAGCCTGGTACTTCGTCTTCTTCTGCCTCTCCCGCTGAGAAAGGGCCTTCTCAGCAGTGACACCACGGTCACGACGACCAGGAGACTCAACATCCACGAGGGAGACATCGAAAATACAATCGGTACCTCGATGCCAGAACCCGCGAACTAGGAGGGCACCCCGATCTTGGACAACGGGATCAGAGGGAGTAGGAGCATGGGAAGAATCAGCAGAGTCAATCGGAGCCATAGCTGGGCGACCAAGAGTGATACGGGGTTCGTCGCGGACAGCAGAGAAGCTACTGCCTTCACTCCTCTTGAGTCTGCCTTGGCCGAGACGTTTCTCCCTCGTCTCTTCCATCCTCCTTCTCCCGATGATTCCCTCCCGGCTTTGACTGTTTCACGTCGTCTCACGGCTCTCCCTGTCAAAGCCGGTGGCCTGGGCATTCCCAATCCCACTACCACAGCTGCCACTTCACACGACCAATAATTGGCTGAGCCGAGCATTAAGCAACGTAGCCACACACCACTGAGTAAGGGCGTTACCACTTTGCAGTGAGCAAAGCGGAAATGCGTTTGGCGAGTGCCTCAGCTTCAGCCCCAAGGAGACCATCAACAGAGCCTGACTAGCACTACAATTTTCGTGGATAGTGCCAGTGGGATTGGGAAGGGCCAGCACCTCGCAGTAAAGCCTGTTGGAACCTTTCAAATTGGATATTTTCCAAAAAGCTAAGCGATTTTGAATTTGCCTCTTGGTAGGATCCAAGAAGATTACTGGCTTAGGAACACTGGCTTTAAAGCCCGGATCACTGGCTTCTGAAGCCTGTTAAAAGCATGGAACACTGGCTTCCCATATTTGGGAACAAAGCCAGTCCCCTATTTTGTTCCAGCTTGAACAATACTGGTACTGATAAATGTATAGTAAAGTCATCCTGGAACAGAAAAGAAGACTGGCTTTAACTTTAACCCCTTGGATCACTGGATTCTGTTCTTAGGAACACTGGCTTCTATTTCCGTGGAAGCCAGTTGGAAGCCAGTGATCCTAGGAGTTAAAGCCAGTGATCCTAAGCCAGAGATCCTTTCTGTTCCAAGTCATAATCATTTTCAGCAAAATTATTTGTTTTGAATTTTTACCGAGCTATTTCAACCTTTCAAGCCAATTTAATTACCTCAAGGTGCACGGGTGGAGAAATCCAGTGCCATTCCATGCCAACAAAGGTAAACCATGACCATGATAGTGGTTGACAGCGGTAAATTGTGGCAAAGTCAACCACTATCTTTTTTGACAGTGGTAAACAGTGGTAAACAGGGCTAAACAGGGCTGAAACAGTGGTAAAGGTAGTGGTAAACAGTGGTAAGCAGTTTTGAGAGGCACCACCGTTTCGCGGCGAAACAGTTAGTTGTGAGCAGTGGTTCCATGACTGAAAGCAGTGGTTAGCATGGGTTTGCCAAGATTTTCTCCACCTCCCAGGCCAGCTGCTTTGACAGGCAAGCCGGTAGCTGGTGACTGCTGAGTTGGCGAATGGGAAGCTTGATACCGGTTGCTGCCGGTAAGCACCAGTACATGTACCGGTACCAGGAACCAAGCAATTCGGGGTACCGGTATATGAAGCTTTAACTGCACAAGAAACTGCAAGCGGGAACTGCAACTGCAGACCACGTGGGTTGCGTGGTGGCTGTGCTTCCCGAAAATTCAGACTTCGCAAATTCAAATTCTGCGGGAATCCCACCGGAAGTGAAAAGAGGAGCGGCATTACCAAGCCATCATGACGATCATTTTTTCCTTGAAGCCTTCCCATAACATTGAAGTCCTGACAGTCCAGTTCTTGTGCCTGATACCTATTCGCAGTAAGCATAACATAAAATGAGCTCCCCGACATTGACATTGAAACCGATAATGAAGACTGTTATGTCAAGATCGACTTCGATACGAGGCCTGGCCGCAACGGTGGGAGAGCAAAGACAAGATGCGGGATGTTATCTTCCAAGAGAATCACCGCTAAGGATGATGAGTACAGAAGTACAAGATAATTCTTGGGGTTGGTATGTGAACGTAGATGTAACTCCCGGGAGACAAGAACAGCCACAACAAGAACAGCCAATGGATTGTTATCCAACACAAACCTAACCATTTTTCTCGTAGCCATCGCACAAAGTGTCTCGCAACGTTGAAAGCGCGTAGACCCCAGATCAAATCCCGATGTCTCAATGGATTGGCCAAGTCTTCCCCTGTAACAGAAACGGCAAGTCTTTCGCCACCAGTTTGTGCCATCGCAGGAGACCGTTTTGATTAAAGTACCATGTCTCCTGCGGGGATTTTTTGCGAGCTAACCATGCATAATAACAATAATAACCACCATTTTTCCTACTGAAATGCTGCACTTCCGTTCCTTTGCTATTATCAAAATGCTTCTGTGGCTTTTACTAACTGTTTAGCCGTTTAGCACCTTTCTGATACTGAAAGATTCTGGTGCTTTGACAGCAGTACATGTAGAGAGGACCAAGGGAACTGCATACGGTACAGTACCGTTCGCAATAGCTGAACAATGTCAAGGTACCCCCTCTTACCTTTGCTGGTGCTGAAATGGGATTCATGATCTGGGTTCACAACCTTCGTATCACCCCGTAGGCGTCGCGCCCGAGGAGAGCACGAAGTCGTCATCATCTGTCTGGACTCCTTGGATGTCACATATGTCAGTGAGGTCATCATTACAGCCGGCTACGAAATGCATATTGTAATGGCTATCCCATAAGACCTAACTCCAATACAGCTGATATGGCCACAGTAGACGCGACAGGTGAGCGTAAGGCCAACACTGATGTTGCGGTTATTGGTAAGGCGTTCAAATCCATACCAACTCCACGGTGGGTCGACGCGTGGTAACGGCGCGAGCTTTACTCATATATAGCTGACAACCTTGCAGTTACCCTTCGACAAAACCCACTTGGAACTAGAATCCTCACAACCGGCACTAATACACATTGGCAGCACGTAGTTAAAGCCCCCCGACGCTAACTTGGCAAGGTCATCTTTGTCTCAAACCTAACAAATTAAAAACGTACACCTTGTTGAAGCTCAGGAGAGTCCCTCTCGAGCGCAGAGCCGTCGATCCATGCAATCCAACACTGGACATGGAAATAAAGGCGCTATACTGGACTCAGCTGAATCTGAGGCGAGATCCCGTTTGCGCGGCCCATGTAAGAGATGAGACGCCAGCGTTGACTGCGAAGACGCCGACGAATCACATGTCAGGGGTCGCGTGAGGAGCGCAGCACGAAGAATAGTTCCGCATCCCCCACCCTCCTCCAAGAGATCCACGGGTACCACACAATGCCCACCTCGAGGATGCATGTCGGAATAAGTGACTGTCAAACGCCATCGATTAGCTCCAGGCCCGTGTGATAGCGCGATAGGCCAGATCGTAGCATTGCCCGACGGATCGTCCAGTTGTGTCTCAGTGTTGTCGTAGGTATGCCAGATGTTTGTATTGGTGATCATTGTGAGGCGAGTATTATCCCCACGGGACCGTCGGCCGATAATGCCCCACTTTGGCACCCATATAGAATGTTCGTATGGAATCTTAGTTTAGGATTGACGTCATCTGGGTATACCTAAATAAGAATGGCCGGACCCTAAAAACCTCACGACATTGTTCTCGTGGGCTACAATGAAAAGATTCGACACCATTATGCGCCAACAGACGAATAGATTCACCTCTCCCCGCCGCTTTCGCACTATCGACGATGGGGAGACTGCTCCCAATAAGATGGCATATAGGTAGAACCAGTGAACTACGCATAGGGACACTCCCTCGTTCTTTACTAAGTACTCTGCTACACAGCAGCTGCAAGATGGAGCGTCATTTAGCCTCAAAAACGTCAAGATAGCATACGCACGTGAGCCGGCTTCTTGTCGCACTGCTGCTAGTAGGCGTATCCGGTCAACCACTTGATGCTGCACTCCAGGCTCAATTCAGCAAAAGCGTTGCGCAGAATCTCGGATCACCTGAAGTAAATGCTCCTCACAACTCGAGACAACCCACGAGAGAAAGACAGAGTGTTAGGTCACCAAAACAGCGTCGAGCAACCCCCTGGCAAGAAAAGAATATGCGCATCGTCACGCTCCTGCGAGCCAACTGAGAAGCAAAACCGAAAAACCACTATGTATCATCTGGATCACCATAATAGCTATTAGCACCGGCGTAGTAACGAAATACTTCAACACCGAGAGAGTGCTAGAGCGCACTGTAACAGTCACTAACACAGATGTCCATATCGTACCAGGTCGAGAGAACACTCGCGCGGAGCATATCCGTCACTATTCATGAGATTGGATGGAGTGCTGCGGGGCGAACAAATCCGGAGGAGTGCTGAGTCAATCTGTACTCTCGTGCAACGTTCGTGACAGCGCACCAAAACATCAACATCTCGACAAAAACTGCTAGGAGTCCATGGGATCTCCCACGGGCTGGCTCGAATTAGTCTAGTCAATTTGACGCCTCTGACTATAAAGACAGTAAACAAAACGAAACAGTACCTTCTACCAGGGGAGTCGCAAACCGGTGCTACATCCTCATGGCTGTCTAGCTTGCATGGACGGACAACTCACCAGTGGTGACGGTCCGAACTGGGCACTCCATAGTGCGTCCTCACGAATCGCACATTGAGCGCGAGCAGCGTAACGTTGTTCGCGATCACTGTCTCGTGTTGGCACTACCCCAGGTCACCGGGAAGAGACTGTCGGCGAATGCTGCATATGAGACCTGACAACCCAGTCTGTGTCTCCTCGGTTTCGAACGATCAACGGGCTGTCGTGACGCCATACTATTCTTCGGGATGGATCGCCTCCAAGCTTCAAGAGTGGCTTTTTATTAGTTAGTTGCAAGTACCGTAGGGTTAACACCTTATTAGTTGCCGGTGTGAGGATCCTTGTCCGACATGTTGTCCGTGGACTGCAAGAAGCTTTTTAATAAAATGCGTCACCACGGACCGAACCACGCCGTGGAAGATTGTTAGGTGAGTACCAAGGCAAAGAGCCCCTACAGTACGGTGTACTGAGAGTAGACTATGGAGCCATAGAGACTCATACGGTATACCAAAGATGACCAAGGCACCCAGCAAAGGGATCAGAGCCCGCCACCCACCCGAGGCAACAGTTAGGGCTACCACGTCTACCGTACCATGCAGCGAGCCGAACGTACTGTACCGTATGCAGTTCCCTTGGTCCTCAAAACATGTACTGCCGTCAAAGCACCAGAATCCTTCAGTATCAGAAAGGTGCTAAAAACTAAACAGCTAGTAATCGCCACGAGGCATTTCGATAATGGCGAGGAACGGAAGTGCAGCATTTCAGTAGGAAAAATGGTGGTTATTATTGTTATTATGCATGGTTAGCTCGCAAAAAATCCCCGCAGGAGACATGGTACTTTAATCAAAACGGTCTCCTGCGATGGCCACAAACTGGTGGCGAAAGACTTGCCGTTTCTGTTACAGGGGAAGACTTGGCCAATCCATGGGAGATTTGTTGGCTCCCGCTTTCAGACGTTGGAAGACACTATTGTCGCGATGGCTACGGAAAAATGGTGGTGTGGGGTAACCATTGGCTGTTGTTGTGGCTGTTCTTGTCTCCCGGGAGTTACATCTACGTTCAATACCAACCCCAAGAATTATCTTGTACTTCTGTACTCATCATCCTTAGCGGTGATTCTCTTGGAGTAACATCCCGCATCTTGTCTTTGCTCTCCCACCGTTGCGGCCAGGCCTCATCGAAGTCGATCTTGACATAACAGTCTTCATTATCGGTTCAATGTCAATGTGGGGAGCTCATTTATGTTATATGCTTACTGCGAATAGTATCAGGCACAAGAACTGGACTGTCAGGACTTCAATTTATGGGAAGGCTTCAAGGAAAAAATGATCGTCATGATGGCTTGGTAATGCCGCTCCTCTTTTCACTTCCGTGGATTCCCGCAGAATTTGAATTTGCGAAGTCTGAATTTTCGGAAGCACAGCCACCACGCAACCCACGGGTCTGCAGTTGCGTTCCCGCTTGCAGTTTCTTGTGCAGTTAAAGCTTCATATACCGGTACCCCGAATTGCTTGGTTCCTGGTACCGTTGTACTGGTGCTTACCGGCAGCAACCGGTATCAGCTTCCCATTCGCCAACTCAGCATCCACCTACCGGCTTGCCTGTCAAAGCAGCTGGCCTGAGGTGAGAAAATCTGTGCAAACCCATGCTCAACCACTGCTTCAGTCATGAACACACTGTCACAACTAACGTTCGCCGGACGGTGGTGCCTCTCAAACTGCTTACCACTGTTTACCACTACCTTTACCACTGTTTCAGCCCTGTTTACCCTGTTTACCACTGTTTACCACTGTCAAAAAAGATAGTGGTTGACTTTGCCACAATTACCGCTGTCAACCACTATCATGGTCATGGTTTACCTTTGTTGGCATGGATGGCACTGGATTTCTCACCCGTGACCTTAGGTAATCTAATTGGCTGAAAGGTTGAAATAGCTCGGTAAAAATTCAAAACAAATAATTTCTGAAAATGATTATGACTTGAACAGAAAGATCTCTGGCTTAGGATCACTGGCTTAACTCCTAGGATCATGGCTTCCAACTGGCTTCCACGGAAATAGAAGCCAGTGTTCCTAAGAACAGAACCAGTGATCCAAGGGTAAAGTAAAGCAGTCTCTTTTCTGTTCCAGGATGACTTTACTATACATTATCAGTACCAGATGTTCAGCTGAACAAAATAGGACTGGCTTTGTTCCAAATATGGGAAGCCAGTGTTCCATGCTTTTAACAGGCTTCAGAAGCCAGTGTATCCGGGCTTTAAAGCCAGTGTTCCTAAGCAGTAATCTTCTTGGATCCTACCAAGAGGCAAATTCAAAATTGCTTAGCTTTTTGGAAAATATCCAATTTGAAAGGTTCCAACAGGCTTTACTGCGAGGTGCTGGCCCTTCCAATCCCACTGGCACTATCCACGAAAATTGTAGTGCTAGTCAGGCTCTGTTGATGGTCTCCTTGGGGCTGAAGCTGAGGCACTCGCCAAACGCATTTCCGCTTTGCTCACTGCAAAGTGGTAACGCCCTACTCAGTGGTGCGTGGCTACGTTAATGCTCGGCCAGCCAATTATTGTCGTGTAAGTGGCAGCTGGGTAGTGGGATGAATGCCCAGGCACCGGCTTTGACAGGGAGAGCTGAGACGACGTGAAACAGTCAAAGCCGGGAGGGATCATGGAGAAGGAGGATGGAAGAGACGAGGGAGAAACGTCTCGGCCAAGGCAGACTCAAGAGGAGTGAAGGCAGTAGCTTCTCTGCTGTCCGCGACGAACCCCGTATCCTCTTGGTCGCCCAGCTATGGCTCCGATTGACCTGCTGTTCTTCCCATGCTCCTACTCCTCTGATCCGTTGTCCAAGATCGGGGTGCCTCCTAGTGCGGGTTCTGCATCGAGTACCGATTGTATTTTCGATGTCTCCTCGTGGATGTTAGTCTCCTGGTCGTGTGACCGTGGTGTCACTGCTGAGAAGGCCTTTCTCAGCGGGAGAGGCAGATGAGACGAAGTCCAGGCTAGTGCACTGCACAACGCCTCACTTCACCCCTTTGTTGTTTCTCTGTGGCCTCTTGCTGCCAACTACTGCTGTTCTCCAACGCTCTCCCAGCTTTTGCTCACAAGTGGTCCAAGCTCTCTCTGTGGTTCGCTCCTTTTCCCCGTTAAGCTTGCCCTTGCCGCAGCTACGATGTGCTTACAGGCTCCCGTGTTCCAGCTAAGCTTTCCTGCGTGGGATGACTGGGTGCCCTCGTCTCTTCCGCTAGTCTTGCTCTTTGCTCTCCCTGCCTCTGCCTTCCCCCTATCCTTGTTTCCATGTTGCCCTGTCGCACTGTGCTCTGCTTCCGCGGCCCCTCGACTCTGTCCCACTTCTTAGCTCTCTCTAATCCATAGTAACCCCGATTCAATTATTCTTCGGGCCCGCTTCCTCCGCATGTGTGGCTCTCGTGCCCCTGCTGCACAATGAGCTATCGCCATTCTCTCTGGGATGCCATGGTGCACTTGCACTCTTCCATAATTTTGCCCCCCCTGCTTCCCCTCTCTCCTCTTTGCTCCTTACATTCCCCTTCCCCCATTTGCCCGCTCTACCGGCTATCACTCCCGTACGTCCTGCTCTGCCTGCTTAGCCCCCTCGCTCCTTAATGTCTCCATATAGCATTTATTATTAGTGTATCATTCAGGTAATAGTCTAGTATGGTCAATCCACCTCTTCAAGCTCAACTTCTCACCGGCTGACCCAAAGGAGAGTGTGCGACCTTGTCGGCCACCACAGGATCAGTCACAGGTACAAGAACGGGCCAGCTTGGCCAGGCCACTGGACCTGATCTGCATGATCACAAAACAAAGCCAAGTGATCCTGAGCACCACAAGGCAATCTACCATGTACCGTATGGTATACAGTGAAGCACAGCGATCAAATAAGCACAGGGGGATCAGTGCATCTTTCTGAGGACAGGATCACAAAATCATAAATCACATCCTAACTAAAAACAGATTACATACATAAACACCAAAATGAAGCTTGCACTGCCTCTTACACTCTCTCTTTCCACTGCTGTTTCCTTGTCCTTTGGATTCCAGCCATCATTGTCTGGTACCAACCGTGGTCCTCGTACATGGCAAGTTACCAGAATTGGAGAACCAGCTGAATTCGAATCCGAGACCACAAGAATAACCGAGTACCGGTACTTGCCAGAAGGGCTTCGGGAGGAGCTTCTACCATTGGAAGGTACAGTATCTGCGCTCCAATTGCTGTTCCCAAGAAGAAGAGCACGAGTCAGAGATCCGGGAAGGCTGCATTGCCAAAATGGGCACAACTTTTGAATGAACAGCTCGGTCTTTCTCTCTTCACCCACCTTGACTCTACACGGCTTCATGCAATTGGGGGAGCAGTCTGGTATGCAGGTGCCAGTGCATTGCTCTGGTCCTCTTGGCCCGTGATTCTTCTGGATACTGTCGACCATTCCTGACATGTCATTGTCCAGCCCCAACGGCATTGCTCTGTCAGCAGTGCTGTTGGGAACTGTTGTGACCTCTGTGACCACTGCTACCCAGAAGATGGCTCCAGAAAAGAAACACCCATTGTATGCTATAACTATGCAGAACTCAATGCTTTATGGAGCCGTCCTTGCAGTGATTGCTGCAGCCATCTTTTGGGGGATGCCATGCCTCCATGGCCATGCAAGTTACCGACATCGCACTGGCACTCGCCGGATTAAAACTTTTGGAAGACCTGATTGTCTACAAAGCTCCATGGGATCCTATGCCTGTGTTTGATGAGCTCAATTTTGAATACCCACCCCATTGGATTCAAAAGGTTGCCCATGTGATTTCCCTGTCCTGGGTCGCTGTTACGGTTGCCAATGCCAGCCACATCTTTACCGGTGACTTGGTAGGCAATGACATGGCCACAACCTTTGCTGTCCAATTGGCTGTAGCTTCATCCTTGGGTCCCTCGGGAGAGCATTCATTGGAACCATCCAAAAAAAGGAACGTTCCAACAAGCAAAATGGTCCACGAAGGCTTGTTGTAGATGCTGAGAATGGTCAGTTCAAAGTCCCCTACTACGTGGAAGCGTTTGAGCTCACGTTCAATCAACCTGGACCGCAGCTCCTCTGCATTGCTGCTGCCTTGTTCACTCACCATGCAGACGTTGTCGAAAAGTTCTTCTACCTTAGCTAGGCAGTTGGTCGCGAAATCTGACTATTGTAGCAGCCATTCAAAGTAAAAGATAAACAGTTGCGACTTTTAAAGTGATCCCATTTGTGCGTATTTCACCATTCATTTCTTTGCAGCCTTGACACTGTGCGGGAAGCGAGTCAAATCCCCACAAAACAGCAGTGGAGAAGACCGGATGGTGGAATCTTCCCAGAATCGCGTAACCAGCCTCTCGCTGGGTGGGCGTCACTCTGCATCAAGCTGGGTGGCGTCACTCTGCATCAAACTTGTTCCCATGATAATTATGGATTCATTGCCAGGTGGGTGCAGTCCTTCGTTGCCGAGCTCATCCCGAGGATGGCACCCGAACTGCCGAATGCGTACTTGACCAGAGCACACAGGGGCTCCTGCACTTCCTCAGGCACTTCACTCCTTACCGGTCTGGTTACACGTCTTGAATCAGTTTGCGGAGACTCTGAACTGTCCCAACCAGTCCAATGGTGCCTCCTACGAGCAAGATAAAGGCCGCAAGATGGTTGTAGCCATGTAGTTTGAAAGAAAACATGGCCGGAAGTACAAATGCAATGGCGGTACCGGCTACACATCCTGTCAGGTCCAACACATCCGCCAAGGACGGCACCAAGACTGCCAAAATGGCCGAAGATGCCCATAGACACACAGTCAGCAAGACGTGAAGCGGTGGAATCAATTGCTTGGGTTCCAACAGCCACCAAGGTTGTTCCTCCTCCTGCTGCTGCTGATTGTTGTGGTATGGACAGAATCAACAATTCCCTGCAACTCAAAAAGGGCATGGGGTAGGTCAGCATAATCATGCAACTCAGCAACATTTTAGTGATGGACAAGGGCAGAGATGGTGCATAGAGCACAAAGATATTGCTGGAAGATTGATCCCAGAATGTCACGTAGATTGCCAGCCCAATGGCGCTCGAGAAGGTGGCTGCCAGAATCACGGACCAGGTGGAGACGACTTTCAATGCACCATGTTTTGTAGATTGGGACGCACGAATCAAAAACCAAGTTGACCGTGTGCTGTGCCACAAAGGTAAAGACAAGTCCCGAGCGGCAAACATGCTGGCTGCACGCACAACATGCTTGCCCACTGCCTGTTGTTGCCTCGTATTATATTGGCCGGTACAAGTAAAATGGTACATAAATGGCCAAAGCGGCAAATTGCAATGGAAACACGTTCCAGAGGTGTCATGTCCCGAAGCAGAGACAAGGGCAGCATGACCATGGCACTCAGACAAATCGTGACCCAATTGGCATGGTTTGGTTCCCAGAGTGCCCAACCGGTCATATCCAGCATGGCGGAGGGAAAGTTGTCTTTTACAATCTTGATGTAGGCCACCATACAGCCATAGGCAAAGAGGAACTTGGATATCATGACCAAGATTCGTCCTCCAGTTCCGTACGTGTAGGATCCAAGTTGTTCATAGGAACCCCCCGTTTCAATGGATAGCTCAATGATGAGATCAAACGAAAACTTGGTCAGAATGGCCAAGAAATGGCAAATGGCGCCAATCCACCCGATCGTGCAATCGCACTTCCCAGGCCAATGCATCCTGCTCCAACAATCGAATTGGCAAAGTTCACGGCCGCCGCAAAGACGGAAGACCCTTGTTGCTCGTCATTGCTTGGTGTTCTACGTTGAGTGTTGTTGTTGCTGCCCTGCAGAAGGGAGGTCTCTTCTGTCGCCATGACGGATGACTCGTTTGGCTCATCTAGGTTGGCGCATTCAGGATTGTACTACATCATTGCCATGCATCAGTGCATATCTCGCAGAAATCTTGTGTGGAAAAATTCAACTTCAACGGTTTTCTTGGTTCGGCTCCCGACATGGGACAGCAGGAATGATCCGTCGAATAGAATGATATCATCTTTCGCAGAAGTTTTGAGGGCAAAGTGCCACGACCATGCAGCCTGCTTGCGTTCCTGCATCGTGCCCTTACTCTGTCTCCATCCTCATCTACTTCTTACGTCCATCGGGAAAAAAGAATAGTATGTATGTGACTCATCATCTTTCTACAAGCGACGTGTCCTGGTTGCATCGCCAGCCGAGCGCCAGCAGCCTTACGCTCTTGTATGCCAACCAATTTCTACTCTCAATGATGTTTTCTGAGACCCGTATCTATTGCCGGACTTCCATTTTCCCTGTTCCAGCCCTTGGCCCCTAATGTCCATCTGCCATGTACGACTGAGTACATCCTGATCGCTGTCTTATGACTTAATCTCTAGCCCAAGCAATGTCGCAGAACCGCTCGTCTCCTTTGCTACCCCACCATGCAGAATTATAAGCACAAGCAGCTAATGTGGGTGGTAAGCCTGTTAGGCGGTGCTTTGTCTCCAGTCTTGGTTTGCTCATGATTACCGACCTTGACTGGACCGGCCCTTACCGAAACCGAAGCTTGACTGCTCTGCATGTTGGTTTAGGGTGCTAGTGTCTGTCATTCAAGTTTGGAGGAGATCCAGCTTTTGATGAGTTGGCGTAGCGGCAGCTTGGTCCGAGAAAGACACCAGACTGTAAAGTCGGAGGCAAACAGTGAAGAAAGTGCTTTGTAGTACGTCATTCACACCCCGGTTGGAAACTTCGCCCGTTGGTGACAGAAGCAACAAAAGGAGCCCCGTACTGGTCGTCATCTCCAATGGATACGAGTGAAGATGATGTGAGGGATCAGAAAGATGAATAGACAAGGAAGCTCAGCATGTACTTCGGAGTACAACGAACATTCCAGCGCGAGTACCCATGCAACTACAACACGGGGGACAGCAAATGACTCAAAAAGGAGATCTGACACAACGAATGACCGGAAGCAACCAGATATGGTGACAGGAAGATGGACGCAAAGTAAAAGGCCCATGCAGAATACATACTAAGGCTGACCGAAACAACTGCCCAGCTAACAGAAGTATCTCAACGGCGACACAAAGTCAGCAGCCATAGCGACGCACGAAATCCAAGAAGATGAGGATGATCAGACTCTTAACGACAACTGCCAACGCAACAATGCAAATTCCACATATTCTAGGCTTAGCTGCCTTGGAAGCAAGACTTGACCATATCAAAGCAGTGGTCAGCTAGCATTCTTCGCAAAGGAAAAGCACACACAAGTATTTGTCCAAGAAACATCACTGCAGCTCAACTAAGTGACACTCAAAGAAGTGGCCAGCTATCTTTTTTTCAGAAAGAGCGAAACAGAAGACAACACAGCACTAGAATGCCAACACATGGGGACACTGTCCAATCTACAGATCAAGACATCCCATCATTGGGCGTGTCAAACCACGAAACAACCCAACAAAGCCGCAGCAGCAGCTCGGCCTGGTGCATACTTGGATGCTCCTGGAGGATCACTACAACGAACACAGACTCTCAACTACAGTGTACTGAGTGCTAACAGCCACATTGCACGCCCAGCTGCCTCAGTTTATACAATACCTCAACAGCACCCCCTTGGTTCAGCAGCCAGTTGGCCCAGGCAAATCCTGTCGTTGAGGACCAAGAAGATGCTGCTGACATCATCATGCAAGCCCAATGATTTAGCGGAAGCTGAGCAGAGAGATGCAAGAAACGGAAAAGGGAGTGGCATTTTTCATTCTCGCAACACTTCAATACACGCTCTTAGCCTTATTCGCGACTCGATCCTAGATAGGGTTTGAGTTCGACTCATGACTGAGTCTCTCGTGAATAGTCATTGAGACAGGGTTCTCAACGACCGCTCTAGTCATACTAGATTGAAGATGAAACATCGCTCTAAATTACTAAGCGTGATACTTCCACGCGTTCCGCTTTAGGATCGTGGAAAGACTTAGGATTACTACCACAACATAATCTATCACACTCTACAAGTCCCCCGCGGAAACCAGAATCTACAACCTGATGATACTCTCCGTGATTAGTTTTCATAGCTTTCTAATCTCTTCTCATACTCATCTCTCAACTCAAAATCATCTCGAATGATCTTTTCACTAGCTTTTAGCGTATGGCATTTTGTTAACAAACATATTAGCTTTCAGCTACCCTAAACATATTCCTTCACCATTAAGATGTCTCAAGGAAAGCTTGCGTTCAGCAACTTCGAAAAACAGTGGCGTGACAAACCCATCTTCCTCATCGTCGACAATGACGACAAAAACTAGATCGACGATACTCGGCACACTGCAATACTCGTGCAACCACTTGTTGCCAAGCGCAAATCCAAAAACTCTGACAATGAGACCAACTCCTCTATCAATTCAATCACTTGGATGGAGAAATCTCTATCTGAGGATTAGTCCATGATGATGACTCAACGAAACCATGTTACGATTTCTAATACCAAAGAGATGAAGATATATCACTAAAAAGTAAACAAGATTTGTTTACAACTAAACACTACCAAATTCAGATGATTGCCTAGAAGATGCTTAACTAGACTCTGATGTTCTATTTAGCATCTTTAACCTCTTCCGTGGCCAACCACTTCGTAAACCTCGCAAGACAAGAGACCTCAAACCATCGTCTATGTTAGATTTAACAAGCGAGAAAAATGAAACCAAAAACCCGTACACCCCGTGCTTACTGGATACAGGAGCTTCCGGAACCTTGATTGCTACACCTCATGCTAAGAAATCTACGCAAGAAGGATCTTTGGGGCGTCCAAACGATGTGGACTCCCCATGCAGGAGAATTAAAAACCAGCACGAAGTGCAAGGTGCATTCATGATTCACGAATTCCACGAAGATAGATATCGAGTGGATTTACACGTCACCACAAGCTTGGGGGCGTATGAACATGATCAAGTCGAAGTATCTTCGCACTTAGGTTTCAACTTCGATTTCACTACCATGTCATGGGAATGGGACGGCGCATCTATTCCTATGAAGATAGCGACACCAATGAAGAAGAAAAATTTCATTCCTGAACCTGCCGCTGTCGATGACATTGCAGATCGTCTCAATAAAATTCTTGATGCTGAATACGAACAAGCTGACTTAAGGCAGGTCTGCCAAAGTCAAGATCAGTAAACCACGGAAGAGAAGAACAGCTTCATTCCTTACTGAACAAGTACTCTGACCTATTCGATGCTTTAGGAAAGTGGCAGATTGATGACTACGAAGTAGAAATTATCCCTGATGCTAAACCTTATCACGCTAGGGCTTATTCTATTCCACGTGTCAATACAAACACTCTTAAGATGGGGGTTGAACGTCTCTGCTATGCAGGAGTACTCAAGAATTTAAACCGTTCCGAGTGGTTGGCACCAACTTTTATCATCCCAAGAAAGATGGCATCTGTACGTTTCATCTCTGATTTCCGGAACTGAAACAAAAGTAAGCGAGCCTTATCACCCCAAAGATACGGGACATGCTCTTGAATATAGATGGATTCAAGTGCGTTACTAGTCTAGACCTGAATATTGGATACTATCACATCGACTGTCACCTCACTCGAAGCAAACTCTGTACCATCGTACCCCCGTGGGGAAAGTATGAATACCAGAGGTTGCCAAAGGGGCCTATGTAATAGTCCAGACATTTTCCAAGAGAAGATGGGAACACTAATGCACGAACTAGAATACGTCCGTGCATACAGTGATCTACTCTTCCTAACTAACGGCGATCAGGCAGATCACGTTGAAAAGTCTGAATAATCCCGACGCTGAGAACCGACTAGATCAATGCTACAATCCCCTTCTCGCAAGAGGAGAACTTGAGAACCTAGGTTACTGGATTACTCCAGAAGGGATCCAACCTATACCAAGAAAATAGACGCGTTCAAGAATATCGCTCCTCCTACCAAACAGGAAGACTCCGTAGATCATCGGACGGAACTACATCGAACATGTGATAGACGATCACATACTGGCCCACTCGCTTCGTGACTTCCAAAACAACGAAGTGGAAATGGGAAACCGAACACGACAAAGCCTTTAGCCAGAAGAAGAAGATCATCAGCAAAGAAACCTTGCTCGCCTACCCTGACTTCAACTCTACATTCGTTATCCACACGGAGCCGAGTGATACTCAACTAGTGCAGTGATTTCCCAGAAGGGAAGACCTATCGCGTTCTACAGTATGAAGCTCAACCCTGCCCAGACACCTTACACATTACCGAGAAGGACTTCTCATACGTAGAAACTCTTAAAGAAGTCCGTAACATTCTTCTAGGACAGAAGCACGTTGTACATACGGACAAAAAGAATCTTACATGTAAAAACATCAAACGATCGCGTTATGCGATGGCGCCTTTTTCTGGAAGAATACGGCCCCTAACTACGGTACATCAAGGCAGAACAGAAACTCGTCGCTATGCTTGTCGAACTTAACACTCCATCACAACGACGTTCTCAGAAACAGATGGACGCCCAGCGAGACGCTGAGCTCAATGCTGCAGACGAAGAGGACTTCCCTAGCGAATTTCCTCTCTCGTTCCCTGATATCGAACATCGTCAGAAATACTACAACGATATCAAGAAGCTTCTCAGCAGACCAACCAAACGACTACAAGAAGCAATCTTTCCCCAGGGGGGATAAGTCCTACGACTAAGTAGTTAAGGAGGAAACCGTCGTACCTAAAACTA